TGTGTTTTTTTTATTATATTATGTATTATTTATTATGTATTATGTATTATTTATTATGTATTATGTATTATGCATTATATATTATGTATTAAGTATTAAAATCATGTAAATACAGTCGCACCCCATATAGTCACATCTCATATAATCACATTATATAAAAACCTCTTTACAGTCTATGAAACAAAACTACTTTAGAGTGACAATTTTTTATAGTCACAATTCTTCGAAAAATTACTATACTTTTAATGGTGTGGTTATATGGGAGTGGGACTGTAGTAAATATTATACATAGTCTCGAAATCAATTACACCTCTTTATACTCCTTCCGGAGCTATAAGCTTAATATTAGCTAGTTCCAAGCATAGGAGAGAGAGGTATGACTGTAATAATTTACATAGTCACTCTCGATGTTTTGTAACAAATAAATATTTCTAGACCTCGTGTCAATAAATAAATTTGCTATATGAAAAGTGTTTGTTTGTTATAATGAATTTCGTGATATACTGAATTCACCACGCTGACAAAATCGAACGAAAAATATTTGGGTCTTTTTTTGCCAAGTATAAAGCTTTGTGCGGATCACGGGGAGTTCCGTCGCCATTTCGATGACAATGAACGAGTCGCTGAGTTGAACTCAAGTTGCCATTATTATATGCCTTCAAGTGCCAATAGGAGGCTTTGCAGGGATTCTGCTCACAACTCGACCCGTTATAATAGCGTTCCGCCAGAGTATACATTCCGCGTATGTGGCCACCTTCCGCTGATTTTTTGAACCATTCAAATGCTTTTTCACCATTTTTCGTCGTGCCGAGACCAGCATGATAGCAATAGCCCATCTAAAGAGAGATGTATTTAATTTAGAATTCTGATATATCAAATATACAAATTAAAAAAAAGAAAGAACGTAAAACTTACTTGATTTTGCGCAAACGCGTCGTTGCTGGATTCAGCAGCGTATCCATAACACACAAATGCCATCGAATGGTCAACTTGGACACCAATACCATAATGGTAAAGGAGTCCTAGAATACACGCATAAGTTGCATCGTCAGCCTGTTTACTGAGTAATCGATATAATTGTGGTTGTGTCATTCCTTTGCGATTGAGCCATTTGATAACGGCCTCTGTTATGTTTTTATCCTTCGCATATGGACCAGGATCTTTTATGGCATAAAATACGGTATATAGTTCCTCAAGGTCATTTAGTTCTTGTGTTTCTTTAATATCTTGATGCGAATTCATGATTGAGATTGATATATAAAAATTTGAAAATTTGTTATTGTTATTGTATGTATTGGTGTGCTCTTTAAATAAGAAAACCAAGTGTGATATAAAAATTTGAAATTTTGTTATCGTTACTGCATGTATTGGTGTGCTCTTTAAATAAGAAAACCAAATGGTGTAATGATGTAATTGTAATGATGTGTTTAGTCATCATGAGATTATTTTGTACAAATTTAGCAAATCACAACATATCGGCCATTTAATTTTTTGTATTGTTTAAACCAATAAAGACCTCTAAACAATGTAAAAAGCGGCACTTATTATGGTGGGATTTGCATCTTCATTTTCGTTGGCTAAATTACTATATATGGCTGTTGTATTTGTTAGTCTGCATAGTCGTGCTTCAATTATGCGATGTACATGTATCACTAGATAAATATCATGTAATTTAGGAAAATGCAATGTTAATTTGTTATTTATTCAACTGAATAAGAGAGAAAAGACTTTCTATTTTATGTTTTCAGGCATAGCCGAAAATAAGACACCGTTTTTGGACGTCATTTGTAAATGAACGTAATCCCCGAAATAAGCTCCGACTTATTCTTTGAAGCTTATTTCGGAGATATACGGTCCTCAATGAATTAAAGTTTCAAATAATTATTATTTCCAAAATTAGTACTGTAGTTTTAATGATACATGTATTTCCAAACTATCAATTTGTGATAATCTGAATACCTTTTTTTTTAAAAAAACAATACTCCAATTAAAAATCCTAATAAATTTACTTTAGGTTAGTAATTTCGTATTAATTTGGTGCAAGTCACCTATAATCGACAATAACGATAAATTGTATGTTTAAATTTTATAAGCTTTTTAAATACAATAGAAAGACCTACCATCTTTTACGGTTTAAAGTACCCCGGTACTTTACATTTCTCTACAATAAGTGGGGTACCTTACACACTAACCAATATATTGAATAAGGGGTACTTCCAAAAAAATCGCGCCCAAAAAGTGGGGAGGGTACTACAGTGTTGGACAGTGACCTCAAATGACCTCAAGTCACTTGTCAAATAGCAAATGACCTAATTTTGTCCATCACTAGGGTACTATACATTGGGGTACTTTAAACCGTTTCTATCATTCTATTGGATTAAATTTGGATTTAAGAAGCTTATACGTACAGTACCCCAAAAAGTAACGCCCGATTTGCATGTGTAACCAAATTTAAAAATCAATACATGTATATCGTTTTCTCCCACTTTGATAAACAAACTTAACATTTTAATATTATTGTGAAGAAATTACGTCGACCTGTACACAATTAAACGAAATTGAAAAAGGGAAGATTCTGGCATATATGGAAACCATAAATGCCGCCCAAATCGCAAAA